AAATGAGGTGGTTAGACAACAAATGTAGGCATGGAAAGACACCAACTAGCAGTGAACTGGGACACTTTCTTTTTCTCAAAATCACAGTTCAGTGATGTCCAGTGACAGTTCAATACGATGTATCTTGCTTAATGTTTGGAGCACAAAGAAAATATTGTGATGTTTTTAGAATGCTAACAACCTTTACACAACTTTCCAACAGTATATGAAACTCAAAATGTGTTCTGGAGTGAATATGACTGAAAATGTTCACTAATACGAGTCACAAATGGTAAAAAATGTTCACATTATGTTTACCATTGTTTTGGGAAATTTGATTGAATAAATGACATTTTTTGTAAGGCAACCTCACTTTTTCATTGCTCAACTATAACATATACTCTTACCAGCTTGTCAAAACAATGCTATTTATTGCTTTTTATAAAGAAATACAATTAATATTATGCAAAATTGAGTTCAGCCTTTTGGCCTGGCCCTCCACAATATTTTTGCTTCTCATGTGGCCCCATGGAAAAAATAATTGCCCACCCCTGCTCTAGATATTTAATTCAATTTTCAAACACTGCATTGTATTGTATCTAAAACCCTTTAAGCCCTTGAATTTGCAAAGCATGAGCTTTTGAGATGCTTATTGATATGGGCGCTGCCCCACCTTGCCGGTGTGGTCATGCTTCATCTCCCAGCCTCTGGGCAACTCCAGCTGTCTGTTAGCAAACATGTTGAGGAAGGCCACCAGGTCCCTGTTGTGCTGGTAGCGCTCAAAGTGGTGAGCATCTCGACGAACCTTACTGATCATATGCTTCAGACACGTGTTGGTGGTGAACATGCGATAGGCACTCTGAGAGAGGGACAGAGAGGAAAAAGCAGGAGAGGAATTAGCCGTAACAGAGCCATAATTAATATGTGTTGTAGTAACGGACTGTTTTGATTTGATTTGATTTATTCTTTCAAACATGCAGAACAGAACAAATGACATCAACACACACATAGTTACACATATCCAGCCAATGCTAATCCAAAATCAGTTTGCTTACACCTAGTACATGTTTGAATGGAGTAGGAAGAAGTCAGACTTATCTAGTCCTACCCCATAACATCATATTATACAAAAAATTTCATGCATTATTGGCTGCAAGCAGTATCTCTACATAGGTAATTATCTTCTTCACCAACAAGTAATACACAGAAAATTAAAACAGAGTGTTTCCATAATGCCTTCTCGAATAAATCTTATTCTTGCATATATCTTGTATGACACATACATTTATATTTATATTTAAACTCCTCAATTCTAGTACTGTTCTTCATGTCCACACTTAAATTATTCCATAATTTGACCCCACTTATAGAAATACAAAATCTTTTTTTGGTTGTACGTATAGCATGAACTTTTAGATTTAAGTGACCCCTTAAGTTATATCCCCCTTCCCTTTC